TACATGGAATCCACACCAAGTCTAATCTAGACTCTTCACTAGCACAGAAACAAATTCAACAAACTTTTTCTTTATCTATGGCTTTAGCATACATTAATGACTGCTTAACTATTTTCAGGAGGGGGGGGGAAACCAAGGTTTAACTATAAATTTATAATCTATAAAAGTTTTATTTTTCCTCAGAACTATTAGCAAGATTGTCTATAAATATCTGAGTATACATTCAATTAAAACAGGGCAGCTTCTGCTGAAAAGTTACTTTCTGGGTTACATCAATAACTCCTATTATATCCAACATTGGATCACTTCAAGATTAACTTCAAGAAAAAGCTTGTGGTTTTGTTTATGTATGTTTTTCAATTTTCACATTTGATTGTTTTAAAAACTGCAGACAGAATTTTTAAAATAATATAATTACATTTGCAAATATAAGTACAGGTTCAAAATCTGAATGAATACTTGGTTATGTCAACATTTTATTGGCTAAACTTAATTTCTTCTAAATTTATCATGACTTAAATTATATTCATTTCAAGTGACTCAAATTCAGCTAAATAATTAAGCACAAGCAATGTATTTCTCTTCAAAGCATTAAAATAGCTGCATATTTAGGAAGGTTTACAGCTTCAAAGACTGTCCCTGGTTGTCTAAGTGTTTATGTCCATGTGTAGTTTACACTGGCAGTTCCAGCAGAAATGTTGTCTGTACATGCATACACACAGGCAACAGGAACAATGTTTGAAGCTGCGATATAAGTAAAGTCCACAGTCTCCCATGAGCTGTGCTTATTCTAATAAAAAATATTTTTACTAGATGTTCTCAAGTTTAACATTATCTGACATTAGAAAAAAAAATCAATGTTTTAAGTTTTCTACCAAGTTATTTGACAGAGAAATAGAAAAAAAAAATTAAAGTGAGTCTTGGAATGAAAATGTAAGAAAAATACTACATAAAAGAAAAAATGTTTGAGAAAGGGTACTGAGTATTTAAGAATCTTTTAATCTTATCTTTTATTTAATCTAAATAACCCAGAGTTGTCAGAGCATACAGCAAAAAACAAATATTATTTTCTTTGAAACATGCTGCAGATACCAAATGGTAAAATGCCAGAATGAAGGCTGAAGATATTTTAATTCAAAAATCTTGCTCTGTCATGAATGCATTAGGCTGCCTAGGTTCAAACTTCGTATCACAGACTAACTGTTGCAAGGTTTTTTTAAATGTTTCATTTTTTTAAAGAAAAGACAAGTAACAAATAAATTTGTTTATATAAGGAGCAGCAGTCATATTTTGGTCAATCTCACAAGAGACCAGAGATATAGGAAGTATTATTGTATATTACAAGTGTAAAGGACTATGAGTTAATAGAAACTTCTAGTGAGTTAACAGCAAAGTCAAGAGTTTCGTGTAAATCTCCTAAATGCAACATCTATTAGAGGAGATAATGAGACTTTACATCTAGTTAACTAACTAAAATGACAGTGAAAAGGCAAGTTTGAACAAAAGAACTCTAAAAACATAGCTTTTCTAGAACTATCTAAGCAAAAAATGTGGGTGTCAAGTGCAGAGATTTATTAAATGAGAATAAATCAATTATAAGTAAACTGACTTAATTTTTCATATATATGTACAAATTAGTACCCTGAGATCCGAGCCACATAAAGCTCATAGACACCACAAAAAAGTTATTTTAACACAAAAAGGGTGATTACTGACTATATTTCTATAGAGAAGATATTCACTATATAAAAACATACTATTTGTTTTAAATTAAAGTAAAAAGACTAAAATTAAATTGTTTTTGACAAAGTTTCCTCAGCTATTGCTTTTATAGTATTGCTTCTAACTCAGGATTAGTTATGTTAGAGAAACTAAAGATCATGCTTATTGGCAGAATTCATGATCGAAAGAACAGAAAGTCTAGTTATCAAACCCAGGAACACTGGTCAACTAATGCTGTGAAAAATATAACAGGTCACAAAAATAAATTCATAAAGGGAAGGTATTTGAGAATACAGAAAAAAAGACAGTGCCTGTATGAGATACACACATTATAGGCTCCCTGCAGTCATGTAAATCACAAACATGCATACTAATATGGAGATGCCTGGATCATCCTATATAAACTGAAGTCTTTATAAAGTTTTAAGGTGATGCCATGAATTCTTGAAAAATTCCTGACTCTTTCTGGATACCTTTGGATTAAAGGGTTGGATCTGTATTTTTAGCCTTTTTAACTTTGGGATCCATAATTTTATAATTAGTTACTTATAATGTTCTACTTTCAACATTAAATCACAAAAGAAATTGAAGGTATAATAGAGGCAAGATATTAAATTCCCAGAGCTTACTGAAAGCAAACAAATAATGAAACAGATGCATGTAAAAGTTTGTAAAGCACTCAAATATACAACTGGTCCTTTTAAGAAAAATATGTAATATGTTCTAAAGATCACCTGTTTTAGAACTAGATTTTTTAAAAAAGATAGAAATTTCCAGAAATCACAATCCTGTTGAGATACATCAATGAAAAATGTTGTTAAATGTTCTAAAAATAATTTAAAAAGTATAATACTTTGCTCTTATATTCTATTGCAGGGTCTCAGAGAGCCCTGGTTGACTATCAGCAAAAGAGTCAGATAAGCTTTAGCTGAATCTATCAAACCTTTACAAATTGTCACTAATGTTCAAATTATGAAAACAAAGAGTAATGTCAAATTTACTGGTAAATTACCTTTCCAATAATAGCCAGCAGAAAAGTTGTATTAAACCAAAGTGATGTTTCCTTCTACAAACAGTACCACATGAAGTTCTTAATGGCCAGATGGCACAGTCCTTATAAAATGAATGTAACATTCAGATCACCCAAATTGTTTCTTATCCAGATCACTTCTTAAAAGTTGTATCAACAACAACAACAACAACAACAAAAAGGTGGTTTGCATTCCACCATATAGTCTGCTCTTTCAAAGGTTCCATAAAAGTAATAGGGGCTTTAAAAAGAAACAGACATCAGTTGCTGTTGCTTTTTCCCCAGATCCTCATCAATATTTTCAAAAGGGGGGCTGATAGGGAAGGTGATAGCCATTACTATCACAATACACACAAAAAGAAACCTGCAAGAACCCAATTTTACCCACTATGGGCAAGCAACATTTTTCTTTCAAGCTCTGAACTCTTGCATCTTTACAGTCTGCTAGGGACACAAAACTCCCAGGTAGTCAAGAATATACAAACTTCTGCCCCAAGTTGACTAGATTTACTTCCAAACTGATTTACCCACAACGCAGGATATTAACTTTTACCTGCTCTCACGTCTTTCCATGGACCCCCATCCCCCCCACCCACCCAAGAGACTTATTTCCATCCTAACCGCTCTGACACCTTAACAAACACCAAGCAAATCATGTTGTCATTTGACCAGGCTTTCCTTCCAACCCAAAACAACTCACTCACCCCCCCACACGTGTCTTCCAAGCACTATGCTTGTTGCAACTCCACATCCCGTTTCGGGGAACTACTTCCTAGTTAACCTGGAGGCAAGCAGGTGCCGGCCACGTTCGCCTTTAGAAAGAGACCCCCATAAAGGCACCAAAGGAAAGTCAGAGGCGTCACCTGTTAAGCTGTTGGCCCCAAACCCCACCTCAGACGTCCTGAGCCCGAGGCGACACAGCGTTAATCACGGCTGGGCAAACTCGGCGTCCCCGGACGGCTTGGGAGCAGCTCGCTATCCGCCTCAAGGGGGAAGGAAGCCTCGGCTGGGGCAAAGATAAAGCTGCTCGGTCGGATCCTGCAGGAGGACATCGCCGCTCGGTCCCTCCTTAGCGTCCCCTTCTCATTCGGAGCCTCCCACACAAACACACCCCGGGCGAAGCTTTTGGCGGACTTACCCCCAGATGACATAGTTGGTCTTGACGTTCTTGGGCCAGGAGAACTCGCCGAAGATCACTTCGTCGCCTTTCACCACGATCTCCTTCTTCTGCGTGTTGTACTGGCGCAGCACGCTCAGGACGTCCGCCATCGCCTCAGCCTGCTTCGCTCGCTGGCCTCGAGACCCCGGAGACCCGCCCGCGCTCCAGTGACTTCCCTCGCGCCGCCTCCTGGTGCTGCGCCTTTCTCGCTCCTCTCGCTCTTTCGCCTCGACAGCCGCCTTCTCCGCCGCCTGACTGTCAGGCAACGCAAACCGACCGCCCGACTAACCGAACCGACCGAACGACGGACCAACCAACCACCCCCAAGCCGCCGCCGCCGCCGCCGCCGCCGATATCGCACGCGCAGAAGGAAGAATAGTCGGAAGGACCCGACCAGTCCGCCTACGTCTGCGCCTGCGCTCAGATGTGGAGAGAGAGAGAGAAAGAGAGAGGGGGGAAACACTCCTTGACCCCGCCCACGACTGGATAGGAAACACCGAGAAACGGGAGAGCTGTCTCTTTCAGCACTGCGTCCCGCCTCCCTTTCTGGGCTCTCTTCAACCGCTCACCGTCAGACCCGGCGTGATTGACGTGAAGAAAAGCCTGTCGCAACGCTCGAAGGGGAAGTTCGCGTTTCAAAGGAAGGAGAAAAACCGAACAGGCAGTGGAGTAGTTAGCCCCTGGGTTGTTGAGGGCCCTTGGAAGAAAAAGCAGACCTGTCTTCCGGAGGCGGGGCTTCGCGGTGCGGTGCCGGGGTGGGTGGGGTGGCAGTTGTCATTTGGCTGATGGCTTTGAGGGTGCTGCAAAGGCTTTGGGTGCTCAGGTTGGTTAAAGGCGGGAAGGATGGTGCGCGAAACGAAAGGCGGCTTCGGCTTGATTCCAGTGGTTTGGCTTGTTGGGATGCTGTAAATTCTCGTTTGTTCTATTTTGTGAGTGAAGGCAGTTTGTAAGGGATTTAGCTGTAGCTATTTTTGTAACATTCACCTTGCGTTACCCTAGAATAGGTCTTCAAACTTGTCAGCTTTAAGACTTGTGGACTTCAACTCCCAGAATTCTCCAGCCAGCATAGCTGGCTGGAGAATTCTGGGAGTTGAAGTCCACAAGTCTTAAAGCTGACAAGTTTGGGGACCCCTGCCCTAGAAGGTTGGTTTTTAGTCACCTTACAACTGATATTTTATGGGTGTTTATTCGTGAATAAATAAAACCTGGGCTGTAGGCAAGTGAATATAGTCGGCCAGGATTTAGTTTTGAACCTCTAGAGCACTTTCTGTCCTGCACAGAAAACAAAAAGTCTTAAGACATTCAGTGGCGTTGCTCAACCACTGATAATGCAGCTGTTTGGCCAGGCTCCCTAGAACTGGTTAACAATGATGGTTTTGGGGATCCCACAAAGATACTTTTGAGGGGGAAAACTTACGTTATATTTCAGAATATCCTGGCTGCGGAAATGTACTCATAATGTTTAGTTTCCTGGGCTTCACATTTTTATATTTTTTTGAGTACTAAGATAGGGCTGCTGCTCTGGAAGTGTGGCTTTTGGACTGGCTTTGGTGGTGGGTCTCTCTGAATTTTATGATCTATAGTGCTTTATTTTACTTGAATTTATGATTTAACCATTGTTGTTAGTTTTTTGGGGGGTTTAGCATGTCTCCTTTTTATCATAAAGTCTGGTATTCAACTTTTAGAGTTAGAGCTGCCTATGTGTTAAAACGTCCAGGCTACTATTACTGTGTACTTCACTGTAATCTAATTTAATAGATATTTCTTTAGTTCTGTAGAATCCTTGGTTTTTAAACACAATATAACTAATCCTCAACTTAAAATCATTCACTTAGTGATGGTTTGAAGTTCCAATGGCATCAAAAAGGTGACTTATTTTTTTTGCAAGTTTTTCACACTTGCAACCATTGCATGGTCACATGATCAGAATTTGGACGCTTGGCAACTGGAATGTATTTGTGATGATTGCAGTGTCCCAAGATTATGTGATCACTTTCCGTGACCTTCTGACAAGCAAGGCCAGATTTACTTAACAACTGTATTACAAATTTAACAACTGAAGTGATTCACTTAACAACTGTGGCAAGGAAAGTTGTAAAATGGGGCAAAACCCACTTAAACAACTGCTTAGCAACAGAAATTTTGGACTCAATTATGGTCATAAGTCGAGGATTACCTATATGAAGAAGCAGTGAAGTTTACTTTTTCCTTTACTGATTAAATTCTGTTTTAATTTTCATGGAAGTGGAAAACAGGACAAAAGATTGGCCGTATATGTAAACATCTGCATATACTCTAAATCTGGAAATGTTAATATACAGTTCAGATATTTTTTTATTTGGTGCTAATGTGAAGCTGAATAGTTCTGGAAAATGATTTACATTAGACTAAAACAAATTTTGAAAACTGGGTTTTCTTTATAACCTGCAATTTACTAAATTATAACTTCCCACGCAGTGCTGAATTTGATTTGCACTTGTTAACTGCTACAAAGATATTATTTCTTACTGGACAGGATATTTGATTATCTCTGTGGAAGAAAGGCTATATGTTATATCTTAAAAGTAAATCCATTAGAGTATAATTCGACTGGGAAACCGTTTCTAGATTATGGTGTTTATGTGAATTTTTATCACATCCAAAAATTGTGTTTCTTTTTACATGATGTATTATTTAAGCCTTATAGGAATTTTAAAATCAGAATAGACTTTTAGTTTTATAGATAAAATACATTATAATTTAGTATAATTTATGATCTCTATTATTTTAACTACAATTCCTGGTATTTATGCTCTTTTCTTTGTAAAGCTTTATGGTGATATGTAGTTTTTTTAAAGATTATATTATATAATCAACCATTTATACCTAATTCCAGTAATGAAATTAAAACAACTTTTTCAGTGATACTTCTAAATCTATCTATATGCCTCACACTAACATTTTTTAATTTCTCTTTTCTTTTACTTTTTTTCTTTAAAATATTTAGTAAATGTATATTTTTAAAAGGCTACAATATAGTAATTCTTAATTTGGCATTACTCCTTTTAATCTAAGACTTTAATCAAAATTAGCTTTTGTACTTGTCCAAAAAAATTATGCCACTTAGCTGGTTACTTTTATGAAATTTACAATGTAACTGGTTGTAAGGCTGTTTTATATACAGGATTGTATTATAAGCCGTCTGTAATATTCATTGCCATGCCTTTTTTCTTTCTTTCTTTAGAATGGGGAACAATGCATCTGCTACTACAGCAATATCTAATACTGCTATAGCAAACGAAATAAACGTGAGTAAATGTGATTGATCTAAATGCTGCTTTTTGTGGGGAAGGGACTTTATTTTTTTTAAAGTATAAAATGTAAATCTGAGTCGTGTTTTGGAAGTCAAACGCATATTGCTATAGCTAAGAAGTCCCCCCAAAATTGTTCCAGCTGTTGGTTTTTCAGTTTTTCACTCTTTCCTGTTTCAAAATGGCAGGAAATTGTACTGTCAGTTTTTTTACAGTCATACTTAACTCCCACCCCACCCGACCCCAGGGCAGCATAGAGGATTTGAGAACCACATATGGTTCTAAAACAGCTGTCCATTCTGCACCAATACCTTTTAACAGTACTGGAAGTGTGTCCTAGTAAAGTAATTCAATCTATCTAAAAAGTTTGTTTTAATTTGTATCAAGAAGCCTTTGGACGCAAACTGGGAAGTAGCAGAAATACAATTCAATCCTATTCAAATTAAATAATGAAACTTTGAATGAAAAGTGGAAAGCCATGTTGGCAATACAATAGTACTTTGCCCACGCCTTCCCTTTTAAATGAAAACATGCTAGCTGATTCATTTGTTAGTACTATAGGCTGAACTGGAACATTTTAATTATTTGAGGGTTTTTGTGTGTGTGTAATATTGAAGGCTATACTTACGTACTTTTCTTTAACACACAAGTATGTAGAACGTATTTCCTTGAGAAACTGCTTTTTCTCCATTATACAAACATTATATTTAGAGCCAGACATGTTTGTTGAATAAGTTACAATTGTCTGGATTCACATAAAACCCTAAACACTGAAGTTGATTTGGATTTCAAATTGACTTTGAATTAGCCACTAATTCTTCCAGTTTCCCTTATGCATACTTCTCATCATCGCATATTTTTATTTCAACTCATAGGATGCTATATCAGATAATTGTGTTGTGATCTTCTCAAAAAGCACTTGTTCCTACTGCAAAATGGCAAAGAAACTATTTCAAGAAATGAATGTAAATTATAAAGCCATAGAACTTGATAGATATGAAAATGGAGGTCAGTTTCAGGATATCCTTCATCAAATGACAGGCAGCCGGACAGTGAGTACTATTTTTTTTTCAGATTTCGGAATAACTATCACTTTTCTAATTCTGGACAAATTCTACTTCATTTATAAGAGAAATCAGCAAATGTAACTGGAATAGTTCAGAGTTAGCCCAGAATTTTAATAAATTTTACCTTACCATGTCATTCAAAGTGGTTCGTAATGTAATAGCTACTACTCTAATATAGATTTTTTTGAAAAAAAATTAATATGCAATCTATACATTTATGCAACCTTGCAATAGCTGTTGCCTTGAACAAATTGCTGGGATGTGACAATAAGAGAGAATATAGCTTTATGTTCTACTTCTAGCATTAAAGATATTGTATATAACTGGGCACTCTGAGAAATAAATATATTTACTGAATAGAGTATAATATATTTTGTCTGATAGAGTAAAATTTGTTTTGGTCTTGTTTTTACCAGATATTAAAATCAGTGTTATGTATTTAGGAGTTGTTATCATTTAAACAGGATTTCATTATGAATCTGGTATATGAGTGCAGCATTTTGATGTTTTAAGCAGAGTTATTTTTTTTCTTTACATAAGACTACAATCTCTAGCCTTGTAAAAACTAGTGAGGCATTGTTATTGTCATTGTTTTCAGAATGAATATTTATTTTTTCCTTTTATATCCTTGTTCGGTGTATTTGTTTGGATTATAGCTCTCAGTCTGAATTTGAATCAACTTTGTGAATTTAATCTTTCAATTTTAGATCATTTTTGAATACTATCTTTAAATAAAAATTAAAGTGCTAAATTGAAAAAAAAAGTTATCTTTATTTGGTATTTCGCTTGAATTCCAAAGGGAATCTGGATAAAAAAACTGCTCATTGCTAGAGTTAGATTGGATTGTATAAAATGCTGCCCTTGAAGGTTGAAGGAAAGCCTTACTTCTATTGCTATCTTCTTGCAGGTCTCAAGTTTTTTTAGAGTCTGATTCCTTCAATTTTTGTCACCCTTGATCCCTTAATAACATAAGCAGTATGCTATAGTGTATTTCATCCATGTTTGAACAATATGCTTATAACATTCATTTCTTTATATTCAACAGGTTCCCAGAATATTTATCAATGGAAACTTTGTTGGAGGTGCTACAGATACTCAGCGACTTCACAGGGAGGGTAAACTCCTTCCATTAGTACACCAATGCCAGATCCAGAGAGAGAGAAATTCAGTACATTCATATGGTTTTCCTTGATTTTTTAAATAAAACATGATGATCTTTTATTTATAAACCCAGATTTTACTTTACTAACCTATCTACAAAAATGCTTCAACAACTTTGAATTGTTCCAAAATATATTGGCTGGTAAATATGCAGGTTGCAACTAACCAGGAGTTCCTGGTAGGAAACTTAGCCACACAAATAAACCTTGTCACATTATCAGTTTTGGAAGCTAAGTCTAAGAGCTATGCCACCTGCACTCAAACGTAAAGCAATACTCCCAGGATGATTTTGGCATACCTATGAGCACCTGCACAATAATCAGCTGCCGTCCATGACGATTTGCTCATTGTTTGCTGTTTCTGCAACTCTGTACTAAACTTTATAGCTATATTGTCTGTGCATGCTGCCTTTCTCTCAAGAAATTGGACATTGGCAAGTTGGTATATCAAACAGAAAAAACTGAGACTTGGACAACACAAAATCAGCAGATGGAGTACTGGAAATAAAACACTGGGAGCAGATAAAGCAGTCATTGGCAACGGAGCTGAACTCAGCTTAATTCTTCTCTTGTCTTCAGTATATCTCCTCATCATTTGCTTCCTTTCACCTTGGAACTTGAACTTCTGGTTACCCCCAGCACATGAATCTTTGTGCAGTCAAATACAAAGAAGACCTCTGCCTCTTTTTAAAGTTATATAGAAAGGGAATGCCAACACATTGGCAAAAAGTAGCTCTGGAGAAAGCAGAGAATAGAGATTGAAGAAGCCATATTGGATGAGATATATAGACTAGTTTTATATATGCTGAAGTTCTATTTGTACCTCTACTTCGCTTGAACCTAGATGTATACAACTGTAGTTTTCACTGTCAACTTTGCTAGTCTTTGTGCTTAGCAAGTATGGTTCTGTAAAATCCGTGTTCATTCTAAGTAAAGGCACATTCACTGCCCTTTTCCCAGTTTAAATATGTTCAAGATAATCTATCCTTGCCTGATTAATATTGTGGTTGATTTAGGCAGTATGTCAGAATCTCCCCTTAACAACACATAACATGAAGGATTTTTGGAATTACGTAAAAAGGATCTCATCAGCTATATGTAGCAGATGCTAGTAAATGATTTACAGATGGGTGAATATTTTGAAAAATGTTCTTGCCCTAAGTGACCAATATTTTTTGTGAGAAAAAAAATTATATGTCTAGATTGCTAGATGACACATTTCATTATCAAAGCTGCTTGAAATGTGACCTCTTTATGGCTTGCAAATGGATTGATGTTTATGAAATAGTACTTTATGGGTATATGACAAACGAAGATTATTGTAACTTAATGTTCTTTCTCTTTGTGTAATATATTTGCATTAAACAGTACCAAATATTTATCAGAATTTTACATTCATATGTTATGATTAACTGCATTATAAACTGCATGCTCATGTTATAAAGAACCAGAATGTTTTTTTTTTTATTTTTACTTTTCAGTCAAATATTGTATCCTAAAACAGATTTACAAATTAAAAAACAACAATGATGGATATAAGAGATAGTACTGTAATGGCCAAATTAACTCTTTTAGTTAAAGAGAAGAATACATCAACTTTGTTTCTATCTGGAAACTATGTCTGGATTTTGTGTTCAGATTAAAAAAATATTTTGGGATATACTGATTAGACAAGTGGTTTTTTAATAGAAATAACTAGTATATATTGAGTATGTAAAGTAAAAAGTTGAGGCTGTAATATTCATTCATTCTACTTCACAATATAAGAGTGATCAGACATAGAAAGCTCACAGAGCCCAACCTACCTATCCATCCATTCATATATATCCCCAAAGTAATTAAATGCTTAAGAACTTAGAAGCAAATTCTAAGAACAAAAGCATCCATGTGAAATTGAAGCACACATCCAGCATCCATAGAACCTCAGTTCCAGCTCACCTTTTAAACCACACATTACACTAGTAAATAATGATTGTGGCATCATTAAAGGTACTTTAAATGACGAGGTACATAGAATTTATTTTGCACTTGTTCTACAAAGCATAAAACATTTAGGAACATTTCATTTACACTTGTATCTGAAAATAATCACTTATTCAAAACGATGGTAACCAACAAATCCCCTCTTCTCTAATGATGTTTATTAATAAAGAGATAGTTTTCCTAGTTAAAAACTTGTTACTCTTTAAATGAAAACCCAAGGCTGTTTATTTTAAAGTGGAAATCACACATCAAATACTCAACGTTTATTATAACATTTTGACAGTAAAGGCGTTTTGTTTTTTTTAAAAAAAATATGTAATGAGCCTCAGAAGAACATGATTCTAATGAGAAGAACAAAGATTGAATCCTTTTTTCTTCTAATAATGTTTTCCATGAGGTCACTCCTCATTAAAATTTTGATACCCAAGGATAAAAACATCAGAAGTGAAAGAGTAGAAAGAATATTGTGATCTGGACCAAAATATCATCTAGTAGTTCAAACAATCCTTTAATTGTCAAATTATTCTCGGGGCTGTACTGTATCTACGTCACATTTGCTCCCACAAATTACCTGCTTTTGCCCTTTAGAGTGATAAACAGCATCTTAAAATTGCATCTTACAACTGGTTATACAAGCCAAACATTGAAATTTATTTCCATGGTACAAGTTTAAAGAAGGAAGTTAATTAGCTGACTGACATGCTTTTTATTTTAAAAGGTATAGCATATCTTTAATATACAAAAGATTCATAGATAACTGCATATCTGCATTGTTTCTTACTATCAGAATTAAGTTTTGCAAAATTCTTTGTAACCCTGTTAAGTAATTTTTATCAAACAAGTCAAAATAACCATATTAAATTGAAAATTGTATGTTTCGCAATATTTCCGCTTCAACATTTCTTCAAAAACCCACTGAAAGTAAAGATATACAATTTTTTTTCAAAATGTTAACAATGTAATGTATAGATTGCCACTAGATGATACTGTGCTATCCTGGTAAATCTACAATAATGTGTAAAATTAGTGTTTTCAAAATGTTACATTTTTAAAATCCTTGTCGCACAAAAAATTCAGTGACTACAAGCCTTTTCCAACATAGTGTTTACTCTCAAATCTCAAAATGGATCAATTTTATGCAAAAAGTAAACTTATTCTGGGAAAAATTTACACATCTTCAGATACAAATGGCTTTCATTTCTTATGATCATGTTTAAGGCTTTCTAAAGGCAATGGTGACACTTGATCAAAGTGAAATAATTTCCCCATCACAACTAAAAATTAAATCTCACCCTATTACAAAAAGTCTACCCATTAATCTTTTCACAGCACAATGTAGGCAACATTTCAATTGAACTACTTATTGTACAAATATGTACATATGGCCAGTTAAACCCAAGTGTTGCATATTCCATACTAATGTACTATACAGTAATTTTTCACTAAAACATTGAGTATTATTTTGCTGTTAAGAGTTATTCAACTTAAAGTACAAATGCAAGATAAGTTTATTTCCTAAATTAGCATCTTTTAACTAATCTCTGCCACTCCAGCAAATATAGAATTCATATAATCTTCCTTGGCTTTATCTGTTTACAAGAACAATTAAGTTATTGGTCTTCAGTCTGAGACAGTAGTTTACAATGGTGGTGAATGTTGCGTTTATATTCAAGCATAATTTCATGCAATTTGGTATAATATAGCTAGATCATATATTTTTAGTGTAATGGAAACAAACACTTGACATGGGTTATTTATCAAGCATTCTTGATTCAACATACATCACGCAAATGCCTACCAAGCGGGGTGCTCAATTTCCCATAATTATTACATATTTTGTAAAGATTGCAGCAAGAAATATTTTATATTGTATTCAAAAAACAAGATACAAGTAGTCGACTTATGACCCAAAATTTCCACTGTTAAGCAAGATAGTTAAGTGAATTTTCCCCCTATATTTCTTGCAATAGTTAAGTCAATCACTGCAATTGTTAAGTTAGTAACACAGTTATTAAGTGAATCTGGCTTTCCCATTGACTTTATCAGAAATTCGCAAAAGGTGATCACATGATACTGGGACACTGCAACCGTCATAAATGCATCCAATTACCAAGTATCCAAATTTTGATTATGTTATCATGGGATGCTGCAACGGTTGTAAGCGTGTACAACAGTCATAAGTCACTTTTTTCTGTGTCATTGGAACTTCAAATGGTCATTAAAGTGGTTTTGTAATATTAGTGAGTTTTTAGCATATATAATAAAAGGTTTTGAAAGATTAATAGAATTCCTATATGCCTGTAAAAAATCACTGAATCAGGTATTATTATGGACCTATTATGAAAATGACACTGATTCACTGATTGTGAATACAGAATTCAAAACCAGGCCTATAATCACACATTTTGCATCAAAATTACTTAGAAATAATACTCATGGTAAGCACTAAACACAATTCAACTTTCGTGATTAATTCAAATTACATTGAATTGTGATTTAGAGAATGTACCAGAATATACAGCACATAACCCCCTGGCACCCTTTGACAATATAAATCATGTTTCATTTACATTAAGCTAAAGGTACAATCTATAATTTAACTAAATGGCACTAAAGACTAATTCAAAAACCAGAACAGCAGCTATTGAAAAAAAAAAGTTATTTACAAGAGGCACTCCTGAAAGAGACAGCAGCGATCACTAAAACAAACAAGGTGGAGTGGAATTAAGCTAATGTAGGCAGGAAGTACATTTGAATGTCACATATGAGTTAACAGTCACTACAGGGCATGAGGTGACTTTCAAATTAAGTTAAAACTTTTTACGGTAAGTAAAATTAAGTAAACCCAGAGTAGTGTTAAAGTGGTAGTGAAAGAATAGGAGAGCAGTGAAGATAGTTGGATGACTTTGGACCCAACATTCTTTCACGTAGAGAGATGGGAAGTTGGAAAAAATACCTATCTACCATGAGAAACATAAAAATGGTTGGAAATAAACAATTCTCTGTATATTAATATTCTAACAATCGTGTATCCTTTCTGAGGATACACGATTCTCAAGTGAAACTTTGGAATGGTGCAAGCAAACAAGACAATTATGGACCAATATCGAATAGGACCTTACTTGGATTAGTACACAGGATACACAGTATTGGGGGGAGGGAATCTAATTAGTATAATTTATTATACACTGATAGCTTAGCACAGTATTTAATATCTACTCATTTCCAATTTAGAAATGATCAAATTTATCTGTTTTACAATAATTTCCTGGTAAATCTTTTTGACTTTTAAAGTTATATTAACTTTATATCCTAAAATTTGATCAGCAAACAGGAACTTAACTGGTCTCATTTTTTCTAATGCTCTATTTACAGTCCATCTAGGTCCTTTTATTTTTGCAAAATTATCTACATTTCCTTTAATGAAACAGCCTTGAGTCTTTTTTAATTAATTTGTCTTACAAAAATTAAAATCTAGATAGATAGATAGATAGATAGATAGATAGATAGATAGACAGACAGATAGACAGACAGACAGACATTCTATAACCTATCAATTTGGATGGAATGGTCTCTGCCATTGAAGGAATAACACATACAAATGGATTCCTTTCCTCTCCAATTCTGGTCTGGATAGTTGTAGAACTGTCTAAAGCAAATCTGGGCTATAGTCAAAAAGGGCAGAGAGAGGGGGAAGTTATATCGTATTGGCTATAACCTTAAATTAACTGAAAAAGTATTTCATTGTAATTAAAACCTATAATCACACCCATTTTTAAGAGAGAGTGGATTCAGTTTTGAAGCATGCAAATATTTTTAAAGTCCCACTTCAGCTTGCACTCTTTTTCATAGCACCTTATTACTATGCAAGAGGGCTTTTCTGTCCTTCCAATACACAGAGAGTTTCTTTTATTTCATATTACTAACTTCTATTGCCAAGAGTGATTTAAATAAAGTGGATTATTTATCCATGGATACATGCAAATTAACCCCCCCCCAACTCCTTGGCCTCTTCTCTCTTTCAGTAAACATGTTCTGTTCAAACCTAACACTTTCCTCTTTAACTCCTACTGCCACCATTTAACAGTGATTCCTAATCTGCACTAAATCAGAAGTAATATTATGGGAAGTAATATTATGGATAAAAAAGAAAATGAAGTCACCTATCTGTTATTGATATATCTCTAGATTTAATTCAATTCAGAGCACAGAAAAGAATGAAAAAAAGTTAGGATAAGGGAATAAAATTGACACCTCATTTAATATAGCTGGTATTCTATTACTATTACTTATTCCACCACTGCTTCTGCAAAATGGCTTGAAAAAAAACACCCCAATTTCATTTTAATAGTAAAACCAGTGTATCTGTACAAAAAGCTAATGCCTACATTTTACTACCTTTATAACAATTTACTACCACAACACTTGCTTGTTGAAAAAGTAATTTAAAGTAGATTGAACAAATTCAGAGTGAATGTATTTTAGCAGACGAGTCAGTATAACTATATTATTCAGTGGCATATAATCAACATTTTTTTAAAATGAAAAAATGTATAAAGGATAAAGACTTTTTAAACATTAGAACCAAAATATGTTAGTTCTAGTTATATATGTATGATATATATATTCATTCATTCATGAGGAAAATAAATCAGGATGAAAAACCTTTGGATCTTAGGCAAAGATTTGAAGAAAAGCTTTGATTTCTGTATTTCCTAAAAAAAAAAATAGCTGTCCAATTCTCCTGGGTCAGGAGGCCAACAGCTTTTGTAATGCAAGAAAAGTCATAAAAGTCATTTAAAATATGGAAGGAAATATGTTATACATTCAACATTGCAGATCAAAATACTTTTACAGGACGTATCTTTATATTGGTCCTGGAGCCTTAAACTAAATTCATGCAGCCTGTTATAGCTTTCCCACAAATCTATGTAAATTATACATTTTGACTTTTTAAATTTCATTATTCTAGTATTGGCATTTCTCCATAAAGGAACTATAAACAGCACAATTATTTATAAAGAGGTTAGCAATAGCACTTAGACTTATATACCGCTTCACACTGTTTTACAGCCTTCTCCAAGCGGTTTACAGAGTCAGCATATTGCCCCCAACAATGGGTCCTCATTTTACCATCCTTTACTCAGAAGGATGGAAGGCTGAGTCAACCTTGAGCCAGTGAGACTTGAAATGCCGAACTGCTGGCAGTCAGCAGAATTAGCCTGCAATATTGCATTCTAACCACTGTGCCACCATGGGTAAATGCATGATATAAGTATAGCTGTAATCCTTCTAAATGAATCAATGGCAAAAGACCTATAAGGTGACTTAGATCAGTTTCCACTTATACAATTAACTTATTTGATAAATCACAACTATAATTAGATTTTTGCAAATGTTTTAAAAGCCACACATTTACAATTACAATTCATATTTATGTGTAGCAAATCTTTCCAGGCTCAGAAATATTTTTACACTTGTCAGAAGCTGTCTGTAGTATCTATACATCAGTTGGGTGTATTACATTATGTTCAACATCTCTCTCAAAAATGAGTCATAATAATAATACGAACCATGATCTTTATTTTTTTTACAGTTAAATAGGAAATGCAGTAAGAATCCTCCCCAAAAATAGACAAAACTAGTTTAGAGTACATATTATTAGCCAAGGTAAAACGCCTTGTGTGGCACTGTAGAAACCCTTTCAGATATTTAAATATTCTTTAATAAAGATAATTTACACAAAGGTCAATACAGCTACAAGTTCTTTAAAATCCATGATTTTAATAGACCAGCTGTTGATCAACTGCTATTTCTGTAAAAGACAGAAGAATAACTACAGATCAGCATTCCCAAAGCAACTTCCTCCTCTCTAATTATACCAAGAATTGTCCATTAGTCTGACAGTATTATTCTAGGGCTTTTTAAAAATTGTAGCTACCTAAAGCAGGCATGCTGCTTTTATCAAATTACATCCAAATGCTGCATGAAAGGACATGTATAAAATAAATCTCCCTGCTATCCACTTCAGTATCTGCTCCAAAATGTCCCAGTTCTCCAGTGTAAATTTGCTGCAGACAGGAAAGCTGAAGTAGTTGGGGGAAGTTTAATCAACAAGTCTTCCAAGCAAACAAATATTATAAGCCTATATCATCACTTTTTATTCAGTATCAGATTCTATAACCTGCAATGCAAAATTTAGCCCAGCATACATTTCGGCACTTTTCATTGAGCATCAGGAGCTTTCCATAACTTCACCTGATGTGCTGTGTTTCTATCACCTTCCATCCAATTTGGGGAAAACTGAGTCAAAGCAATTTCTCTAGACATTTTTTATCTAAAAAAATGGTATACATTATGTCTGGAATTATGAAAAAATGTGAACAGCTATCATAAGTACACAGTGAAAATCTTTAGGTAAGGAGTAGATAATTGTCACAATCTTGATTACCAACTGTTTACAAGATTATCAACGTGAATTCATGAAGAGGTTATTGTTACGGAATGTATGATACTACAAATGTACACTATGCGTACATTAGCCAAAGGTGGAGAAATGGTTCTTTCCAAATGTTACTAAATTATAAATTTGGCTAACGATGAGGGAAGCCGGGAAGTGCACTTTAACAGAATAGAGAGGAGGAAAGATTACCCCTTCAACACTAACATTTTTCTCAATTTTCTAAGTCAATGAATGGTGTTTTTTCAAAGGCAAATGATATGTTCATAGGTCACAATACTCCATTAAGCCTGGCTTTGTGATATATTTGTCTGCAAGCATCATATGCTCAATGAAAATGCAAATGTAGCTATTAAGTCTTCTGTGACTTAGCTAGTCGAATTTGGTTAGTTTTCCTCTTCATCGGTTTGCCAATCCTGCATTACAGTAAACACTGCCATAATTTTTTTTCCTGATTTTCCTGCTATTGCATGTCATATAGAATTTCAGCAAAGGAGAACGGCCCAAACCAAGAAGAGTGATTTTGTACCAAGCTGGAAATTGATGCATTAAGTAAAGAAGCCTTAAATATAGGAAACTGTTTCCATGCTATTGTTCATATGACCCAGAAAGGTTTCCTGATTTATAGGGGGTTTTGTTTAGGGGACTGTAATATGGGAAGAAAAGGAACAGCAATATCAGTTGTGAAACAGTCTTCTATATAAGCTGCCTCTTTCTTGCTCAGCCCATCAATTTACTAACTTATTACTCTTCTGTTCAATTAAAAGAGAATGTATTGTTTACATGAACTTATTTTCTAGGACAAAGATGGAGAATTTGGAGTTCAGCAACATCTGGAATGGCACAATTCCCAACAGGCCCAACTGGAATGCCAAGTTCAGATCAGCAACATGTTATCTCCTTACCACCTCCTTAACCTTGATTTGCCTACCAGCAGTGATGGTCCTTGCATTAGGACACAAAGGAGTCAACAAAGGGTGAATGTCATTAAATTACATGTTTTAGGAACATATAATCCCTATGCAAACCAACCTGATGGTAAGGCAGGAATAATGGTATTTTAGGCTCTGCTTGTAAGGCCCGTTCATTGAGCACAAAATTTGAGCAAGAAAGCTCTATGTTTGACCAATTTTTCATGTGCAGAGTCTATATAAATTAAAACAGCATATAATCAGCTTTCTTGCTCTCACAGCAACTCTACATTTAAGTAGATATGCTGATACAAAAAGACTACTTTGCAAATGTTAACATGTACAGAAAGACAGATCAGCTATCATGTTAAGGTGGGGCTAGAAATGTGTGTCCATTTCTGATTTATTGTATAACTATTGTACAAGTAACACATGAATATGGTTAGCTTTATTAATAATCCCGATCCTTGCATCTTTTTGCCTTTTTCTCCTCTTACTTCAAGAGATATGATAAATCACATTTTCTATAAAGAACATCAGAAAATATTCTTTATTTTCTGATATTCTAATTCTATTAAAAAAACAACTTGCTTGATAAACCTTCTACTATCCATTGTCAGGAAATAAAACACAGTCCAGTGAGTTCAGTGTTTCTCAAACTTGGCAATATGCTGGTTGGGGAATTCTTATTGAAGTCTTAAAGTTGTCATCTTAAAGTTGTCAATTTGAGAAACATTGAATTAGACCATAATGTGCACAAAATTGATGGTTTTTGCAAAATCTTTTTTAAAAACAAGAATTTAGAAGGCTAAAGTACAATCATCAAATCAATATCCCTGGGAATAATTTGTTGTTTCCAAATTTCCCAACATTGCTTAATACAAAATCTTTGCTAAAAACAAGGAGAGCATCAAGTTGCCAGTGGTAAATGTTCCATAAAGTAATAGGAAGTAATGAGCAATGATAGAAGTAATATAATCTATAGTGCACATGTAGCTCATTTTTCCCAGATAGTAGAATAGGTTATTCCAATCAAACAGGTTGTTAACCTGAAACAGTGTAAAAAGATGAAGCCCTGTCTCATCCTTTGATTCCCTGTGATTAACACAATAAATTCATTCTAGGAAAATAAAATCTTCAGTAACGGAACACATTGTCATAGTTAAACTAATAAAAAAAAAATTAAAAGCATTCACTGTATTCCATGTTTAGCTCTAAAAACCAATTAGGAAACCTAGAATTATGCACAACAGATGTAAACAGTATGTTCAGAAAGTAGAGTTTTCCACTGGCTGTTTTCACATCTCTTTTAAAATGTTAATACTCCAACAGGAGTATGAAATTTAGCCTTGAATTGAGAGTCTTGTTAATGCAATTGATAGCTCCCCCAGTCAATTCTTCAGGAAGTTAATAGCTTTAGAAAAAGTGAGTGCTCACAGGTTTAGATCAAATCTAAAATGAAGTTTTGAATGACAATGGGTGTTCCTGTATCAAAACCACAAATATCCAGCATCCCTCTGTCATCTGGGTCTGCAACAGTAAAGCCACTGGATGTCATTCCACAAACGATTAACTTGGATGGAATACCCATTCTCTATAAACAGATAAAGAGAGAGAGAAATACTTTTTTTCAGATTATACTTGCAAAACAACTAATTATTTATAAAAGCCAAGTCTTACAGACTTTATTACTGAAGTGCACAATCCATATTCTTGTTCTCTTCCTGGAAAGTCTTATTTTTCTCAGTATTTTGCCAAGATTTTTGAACCCAAACTATCACAACTACAACTAGGGAGACCTGAATGAGGCAAATGGGGGAAACAGACTGGCTTTTTCTTAAAAATATACTTTATGTCTTATCTGCTCATTGTTGCTGCTTTGTCCTTAAATAGCTTTTTCTGCATCTGATAACAAGCACTGTTCCATTTGTGGATCACTTATGTGAGCCCAGTATACTTCTAGATCGGATCACTGTAGTGCAGATAGCTAGAAAGTCACAAGCAGTGCTGATACAATACTAATATAAACAGGACTAAACTAGCATGCACTGAACACAATATTAAAGAAATAACTTTATAGATTTATATTTCATTCTACTTTAGGATTATATTTATATTATTTGCCCAAAACCATTCCAGAAAATGGTTCTCTGTTACAACATAGATCATCAGAAAGCTGGCAGCTACCTTAAGAAGGCAAAACTTTATAAAGAAACATTTTGTCTTATTTTGCATTATTTAAAGAATACTTACCTCTCTATACTGTCTCAATGCTGTGGCAGGGTGAACATCTCCAGCAAAAGTCTCACTATCCATGAAGATAATAAAAACATCAACCTCTACACCTGTCTTTTGGGCCCAGAGCAATGGAGAAGAACAATTGGTGGCGCCCCTTGGAATCTATAAGAAAAAAAAATTATTAAGATCCAAACAAGCCAGCAAAAATTATATAGCTTTTAACTTAGCAATGTTTCTGCCTGGGAACTAGCAAAGGGAATGTGAATTGATGTTTACATTTAAGATTACAAACTGTGTTGTTATATATATGTTACCGGCAATGTGTGAAAAACTGATCTTTTATAGATTGCTTAGAAAATCTATAGAAAGTGTGATGTCTTTAGGCAAAGTATGAAATGCCTGTTATTTTAATATGCTATACACTTTTCCTAGGCATTGGATATAATATCTCAGCATTATGCAAAATGACAAGCATTATTTAGGCAAAGTATGCAAAGAAAGTCATGAAAAGGGTTAGATTTAGGCTTAACCCTAATCTTTTATTGAAAAGATTTTATGAAAATGAAAGAAGAAAAATAAAATAAAAAATAAAGTACAGGATTATAAATAAAATACAGAAAAGACCAGTGTTGACCTGCTTGTTGCAACAAGGAAAGCTAGAATGGCATTTAAACGGGAATATTTTATACTTTGCTGGTTTGCCTTTTGGCATTGCATAGAATGCCTAGAAAATGTGTAAAATATTAGGTGCTTCATACTTTGACGTCCCATTTTTGTCATTCTATAGATTTCCTAGACATTCTATAAAATGCCTAGTTTCACACATTGATTGTAACACATATATTATACCAGACAATCTGTGACCTATTGGGTCATTGTTTCAGAGATATTTCCTTATCTAGATAAATAGAATGACCATGGATGGGCAAAAATTCTATGGGAGTGTGAACAATTTCTGTCTTTCTGTTGACTTTCCCATTGAATGTTGTTGTTGGAAGCTGGCAGTGAACATTGGGAACCTACCTACCTACCTATCTTATTTCTTCCTAACTCCCTCCCTCTTGTCTCTCCCTTTTCCTTCCTTTCTGATAAGGCTAGTAGGTCCCTACTTTTGAATGGAGAAGGGAGTAAGAGAGTGGCCAGAAACTGTCAAGAAATGTTGAAAGTGATGATCAAATAGTCTCAACAGCATGGTGGCGGCAGCACTGAAGCAGCTACAACTTTCCCAAATTTCATTCCCTCGAAGTAAGAAGTCACAGCATTTTGTAACTTAACCCATTTGAGGTACCTTGGTTGAAAAAGTTTTGCCCTATGTTGCATCACTTCGCTCAACTAAAGGTTATAGACACGAGAGTTTTGGTAGTATTTCAATATAGTGTATGATGCTTTCCCTGGGAAGTGATCAAATGCCAGCTAATTTTTTTTTCTCCCCATTGGACTAATGTCTCCTGTGATTTGCAATAGCAGACAAGACCTGCCCATTGAGCCTGTCCTCTCGAGATGCCAAACTGACAGGCAAATAAAGGTAGATAACAAAGCAGTGTGATAGGCAACCGATGCAAGCTACAGAAATGCTGTTCACAGAGAAAATCCTCTGTCTTGAGGATTAATTTAGTGACAACCTTTTTCATCTCCCACACATGCACAGACAAATCCACAGTCCCCATAGCATGTAAACAGATATACATATATGATTCTATGTCTAGGATGGGCAAAGTTTATAGAAGGCTGCATGACATGAAATGGAGAAGACTAGCTTGCCCAGCAATATTTCCACGTCCATTCAGATTCCGTATTTTCTTTTTTAAAAAAAGTTATTACCAAGAGATCTTTCACAAATTCAGTGCTGATTTCCATCCTCTCCTGCATGTATCCTTGATACCTTAATCTTACCATTAAAGTTCTTCAATGATTTTGCCCTACTCTTTTGTGTTATATTTCCTTCTATAAACCCAAACACTAACTTGATAATGGATTTGATCACAAAACCAATCTGATCACTTCGCAGGGAAAGTATAATTCAGCCAGCTCATTAATTTTTTTACTCAAACCCTGTAACTCATTATTTAATATAATAGTGCCTTCAAATTATATACTAACATACTTCAAGTAAAATCAAAGCATATCCATACACTCTTTACATCTCTTATTAGATATCCCTTTTTCATTTTTTTTCTAATGAAGTTTAGGTACTGGATTACTCAGACCAATGTTCTTTCCTTTTTATTATGGTATTAATATTATCATGTGCTACATGCAAGTAATAAAAGAGTCACTTGAAAATAAAATGCTTTCATGAAAAAGAATACTTGTTTAATGGACTTCAAAGTCTTAGTAAAATACTTATTTTCATGATAAATACATTATATGATAAATACATAAATACATGATAAATAAATACATTAAGTTACCTATTCTCATATAAAACTACAGGATGACTTTAAGAATATTAGGTACCTCAGACATTTTCTGTAATACTTGTGGTAAAGTCATATCCTCAGTCACAGGACAAGGAACTATATCATGGGAAAAAGCAACAATGTGGGAATCTTTTTCAGTGCGTGCCACAACCTGGTAAAAACCAAATGACCAAAGGTAAAGATAGAATGTTATTTTCCTGTTTCTTGAACAAAAAGCATTTCTGTAGCTCAAGCTTTCTGTAGTTTTCAAATGTGAAATAGCTGTTTCCATAAGTCTTTTCTATTCTAATTCATCCCTCTTCTAACTCTTCACCATATCCTAGTCCTTTCTCCAAGACTTTCTTAAGGTTTTTTTTTTCCCCTTTGGATGCAAGTGCTGAAAATCAGATTACCAAATCTTGCACAATGGTTTCTTCTTGACTTGTAGAACAGACACTGATGGGATGCATAATCTTGGCCAAACACTTACTTTAGTACGGGAGGCATTAATCACTATAAAAATGCTTTGTTGCCTGCTCTAACTTGAGCAACAGGAAAAGTATGTATTGTAGACAAGTGGCATGACAAGACTGGGTAGTAAGACATGGAATGAATAAAAGGATATCAACATGTGGCAAACTACTGTCCAGCAAATACCATATTTTTTGGACTATAAAATGCACCTAGATTTACAACAGGAAAACAAAAAAAAAATAGTTTGTGACCTCCAGGTGTCGCATTTTCACCCTCCCTGGCCCCCAGATGCACTCTGCAGTGCTCCGCACATTCCGTTTTCACCAAGAACGGGCCTGTTTACGCCAAAAACACACCCATTTTTGGCCTGCAGAGTGCTTCTGGAGGGCGGGGAGGGCGAAAATGCGACACACAGAGAGTTCGAGAGCCCAAAAATGGGCCCATTTTTAGCAAAAATGGGATATGTGGAGCACTGCAGAGTGCTTCTGGGGGCTGGGGAGGGTGAAAATGCAACACGTGGAGGGTTCAGGAGCCCAAAAACAGGCCTGTATTCGGTCTATAAGACAAACTGAAATTTTCACCCACTTTTGGGGGAGGAGTGTGTCTTATACTCTGAAAAATATGGGTAAGTCACTCAAATTCTAAACCCACAGAGACATTTGGGAGTTATCAGAGGAAATATATCCTTGTATACTTTTGGAAAATATTGACCATGTTATCCAAAAATAAAAAAGATAAATAAAACAGAAGCTTGATTTATATCTAAAGAAACAAATAGAATAGGAATTAATAACTATGTAGATTTTACATGGATAGGTTTGTTACAGTTTTGTTTTAAAATCATATTATCATGAGGCAAATATCCTGGATTTTACCAAATTACAATCTATTCAGTCTTGGAAACAATGCCATCACATCCCAAAGTTTGAGATCAAAACATATCATAAAAATGAGACAATTCTTACCATGCACATTGTTGCAGCAATGGTACTAGCATTCAGCACACTACCAAAAACCTTTTGCAACATAGAATCACTAACATCAACTGCAACTAAGATACGCTTTCCCATTGGTTCTAATGCCTAAGAAAAGGCAAAGAGGGGAAAGAAGTCAGAACAAATGTTTTTAAAGATTTTTTTAATTGCATGACTTTTCATAGCTGTGAGTGCTTTCAGAAGCAACAGTATTAATCAAAGAAATACTAGTTGATGACAAAAATAATATAATACAGATATATGAGAATAAATTATGCACAGCATAATTTGTAGAGAAACTCTCCATGCGTCTTAAGGAAGGAAAAAAGGAAGACTACAGCCTAGATTGGTATGGACTGCTCATAAGAATACTAAAAAACAAAAATTCTAGGAACATTTACCATTCTGCTTTTAGTCTTTATTGCCAAAATCAGAACTTCCCTAAAGAGATATCGCTTAAATGCTTCAGACTTATACTGAAAGTAATTAAATAAATATTCATAACATTACCTTGAAGGACTTGTAAAATGAAGTATTGAGAGCTTCCAAGATGTCCTTCTCTGGTTGCCAGCGCAGTTTTCCCCGATAACCACGCTCTCCTTTATAGTTTTCTAATGCAACCAAAATATGGAATGGGTGTATTTGAGCCTAAAGAGTTTTGGAAAACAGACTCAAAATGTTAATTTCTCCTTCCAGTTATAATTTCTGTTAATTAAGTATGCTATAAAATCAATGATTATGGAATAGAAAACTATATTTATTTAAGTATTCTGAATATAGAGTGCAATACAACTTTTTAACATGTGTTCAGAGTATTATTGCTAGAAATAATTGCTACAGTATCCCTTAGATTTTTTCGCCCTTCATCTAAATGAGATTTAAAAAAAATTTTTTTTCAGTTATTAATTCAATGGCTTATTTTGCTGGTTTAGAGAAATTCAAATTTATATGGTGACCTCACAAATTTGGTTTGTAATCAATTTTTTATTCTCTTTGCCTTCTGTAAATCTATTACACAAGAAGAGAAATCCTTTCATATGACGTTCACAGCCAATGTGCCCGACAAAAGAATATTTTTGTACAGAATTTTTTTGTAATTTTCACTTTTTCAGCAAAACAATGATTCCCCTATTTTAACTGTAGAGAAAACATTCAAAAGGTTACTGACTTGAAAGAGTACCTTTATAAAACAGATGAACAGAAAGAAAGATTATGAACATATTTAAAAATCTTGTACATGTCCTTGACTTACAACCATTCATTTAGTGACCATTTGAAGTTACAACAGTACTGAAAAAAGCGATCGATGACCATTTTTCACACTTACGACTATGGCAGCATCCCTGTGCTCACATGATCAAAATTCAGATGCTTGGCAACTGGCATGTATTTTTGATGGTTACAGTGTCCCAGGATCATGTGATCACTTTTTGTGACTGTGTGTCTTTTTTGAGTCAATGTGGAAGCTAGATTCACTTCACAACCATGTTACTAACTTAAAACTGCAGTGATTCACTTAAAAATAGTGGCAAGAAAGGTTGTAAAATGGGGTAAAGCTCATTTAACAACTATCTTGCTTAGAAATGGAAATTTTGGGCTCAATTGTGGTCGTATGTTGAGGACCTCATCAACTAGAGTTGCCAACTTGAATAAATCAATGTAGGACAGGTAATTTTTAATAAATGAGAGAGTCAAGATCAAAACTATTAATTAATAAGTACTGATTACTTAATCCACTTAGTTTGGCGAAGCGGTTTAAGATTCCAGGAAACTGCAAGTTCTAGTCCTGCCTTATGTAGAAAGCCAACGGGCTGATTTTGGGCCAGTCGCTCTCAGCCCAAGGAAGACAAACCACTCCTGAAGATCTTGATAAAAGAACTGCAGGGATATGTCTAGGCATTAGCATTGGTCAGGAATGATTTGGAGGAACACATACATAGACACCCAACCCCCTTTAATTACCTGGAAAATAATTCACCCCGTCTGTAAAAGAGTAATAGCTTTATTTGTTAGGCACAGAAAATTAGGCAAAAAAGACACTGAATGAAATGAAAATTGATACAACATTATACTATAACTCAATTAAACTGAAAGGTTCATGGCATATTACATTATCTTCTATCATATAAAATTGGAAAATAATAGTTATTTGTTTTAAAGCAACTTCCTAGAATTCTGTGAAAAAGATTTTAGTGTTTTTTTTCCAAGTGATTAAATCCAAGTGCAATCCTAGTAGCAGTCTATTCCAAAAAAAGAAAAAAAAAACCCGGAAACAAATAAATTTAAAAACAGCTCCTAACCCAGACCTGACAATCTTAATCAAGATGTGGCTATTCCAGTAAGTGGTAAAAGCAAATCTCTAACCCATTAAATTTGGTCAAGAGCACAGATAAAAAAGTCACCAGCAGATCTTTCCAATAAGTAGATTTAGAAGTAATCCTCCACTTACAACAATTCATTTAGTAACTATTCAAAGTTACAATGGCACTGAAAAAAGTGACTTATGACCATTTTTCACATTTACAACCATTCCAGCATCCCTGTGGTCACGTGATCAAAATTTGAACACTTGACAACTGATTCATGTTTATGACGGTTGCAGTGTCCCAGGGTCATGTGATCAATTTTTGCAACCTTTTGACAAGCAAAATCAATGGGGAAGCTGGATTCACTTAACAACCATGTTACTAACGTAACAACTGCGTTGATTTACTTAACAACAGTGGCAAGAAAGATCGTAAAATCGGGCAAAATTCATTTAAAAAATGTTATACTTAGCAACAGAAATGTTGTGCTCAATTATGGTTGTACATTAAGACTACCTTGTATACAGGGCATGATTTATAAACTCTATCAATTGGTATTTTTATCTTTATTTAATTCCTAACCACTCTTAACAACTGTCAATGGAAAGAGTAAAAGCAAAAAAAAAAAAAAAGGAATGGTCATAATAATACCAACAACATTCTTGACAAAAATCAAAAAGCATAATGAAACCCTGTGTTATCTAGCTAATAATACATGTATAACACAACAGATTCTGTAAACATTTATTAAATACAAGCAACAGAGTTCAATAGCTTTTTCTATAAAAAGCTTTTTTTTAAATGTAGAAACTTCTACCCACATGTCGGTAATACACAAATACAAAGTAAGAAATAAGAAAACTGTTGACGGATATCTGGACTCAACTTGTTTTATATAACCATATTCTAGACCAGGCTTTCTCACATGGCGTACCATAGAATCACAGGTTTTCACAAGAGATTGTGATTGAAAATGAAAAATATAACTTTTTTTCAGCTTTGTGTACTATGTAGTACTAGCAGTCATAGTAGATGAAATTTTTACACAATGGATGGCAGCTTTTTAAATATTGCATTTAATTTTATATCAATTTTCCTAATATAAATAGCATTAAGTACAATCAATTTACAATACTTTTTTTCCCCCAAAAAAATCTAACAAAACTACCTTTAGAAAAATTACCGGTAAATCCTATTTTGTCTTAAGCCGGTTATTCAAAAATTTGTTTGTCTTGTAAGTTTTTAAAATTTATCAAAGAGGAAAAAAGATTAATTTCAATGGAAGTTAAGTTAAACACAATCAGATTTTCTTCCAAAAAGAAGGAGGGCTAAAAAGTCATTTTTAGTTTCAAATAGGGAAAAGAACTACTCTTGGACATACCATTCTTCATTATCATCTTGTACACTAGAAATTTGGATAAAATTATAAAAATGTAGAATATTTTAAAAGGAAAAACTGAAGTTTCTCTTCCCGCATTACTGACTTGCATTAGAGTTAGTACCCTTCTGATGGAGGGGAAGCCAGTGGTGGAATCCATTTTTTTTACTACTGGTTTTGTGGGCATAGCTTGGAGGATGTGGTGTCGCTTGGTGGGCGTGGCTTGGTGGGCGTGGCAGGGGAAAATACTGCAAAATCTCCAATCCCTCTCCACTCCAGGGGAAGGATACTGCAAAATCCCCATTCTTTCCCCACTCCTGGGGGAAGGATATTGCAAAATCTCCATTCCCACCCCACTCTGGGGCCAGACAGAGGTGGCATTTGCCAGTTTTCCGAACTACTCAAAATTTCCGCTACTGGCTCTCCAGAACCTGCTGAATAGCACCCCTGGGGGAAACCAACAAAAAGAATGGACTAATGAGTTTGCCAAATACATCCTTAGAAAAAAAGATCAAAAAAACTTTGACGATTATTGTTGGATTATTATATCTACAGATCTATATTCACAGATCATGTTAATATATCTGTAAACACAGTTCTTTTTATGGAAGGAGTTCCCTCAGACCTGACAATTATTACAAGGCTTCCCTCCATGCACATCAGCTGACTGATTGCAACGAGAAACATTTCAAACCAAGAAGACTGTCTACTGATCAATAATTCCAATTTTCCTGAATCCTGATCCTTATAAGGATCAGGAATCTGGAAAATTAGAATTATTGATTAGTAGACAGTCAACATTTCAGTTTTTTGATTAAGAGCAGTCTAAAACTGATTAAAACATTTATTGTTTTAAAATTGAGATGAAGCCAGTTATTCTTATTGGATATTATAAAAAGAAATGTAAGCAAAAGGGCTCAATATATTATACTTCATATTACAACAGCAGCAAGAATTTTATTTGCCCAGAATTGGAATCAAGAAAACATGCCACCAAATGCAATGGTAATAAAAAAAATCCTCAATAGTGCAGAAATGGATAAATTAACCAGGGAGCTTAAAGACAGAGAGGAATCAGAGTATTACAAGAGTTGGAATATGTGGTATCAATGGCTTGAAACGAGATGTAAAATTGATGCATAAAGATGATATAGAAACATTAAATTGGAAATTATATATAAATATGATAAAACTTGTTAAAGGATAAAAGGAATATGTAAATACATATAGATATACTGTAATATATGAAAAATAGATTAAATCGATGTTAATGAAGAACAAAAATATAATATCGTAAAAGATACTATATATTTAAAGATGTACATAATGTATAAAATAATAAGCCATAGATTGGAATTATGAAATTTGAATTGTTACCGATAGTTGAAAGCTGTAAAAATGGAAATATGCTTTTAAAACTAAAAAAGGTTGAATAAAGACTATTTAAAAAATTATTGTTTTTCTACACAAGACAAGTATTTTCCTAACGCTATTTAAAATAGTCCTTATCCCTAAAGATATGGTACAAATAGTGAATCTTTCTCTCCTTTGACTATTCCCTTTGTAAGTCTAACCCCTAGCCCATTACTAAATATTTGAGATATCCTGTAGTAGTGTTATTTCTTAGGAATTTATATAATGATTTATTACAATGAAGCTTAATTTTCAATGCTGGTTTCTATTAAAAGATCAACTAATAGAATATTGCTAGAATACAATGCAGATAAGAAATCAGCATTAAAAAATCCTTACCTTTTTAAGAAGTTTTTCATTTTTTAGTTTTTCACAAACCATTGCTACCTCTGAGCTTCCTGGTTCAAGAACAAAATTTGCTGTCATTTTTCCCAGGTTCTTCAATATTGCTGTTATGGGCATGTTCTGTAGCAGTGCTTTCCATACCTTGTACAAAATGAAGTTCAAAGAAAAAGAAAAGTCACAGTATTTAAAGAAAAACACATACTCAGTATAAATATGCATAACTGTACAGGAATAATGTAAATGTATTTATTCTTTCATTCACCACATTTCTACAACATCTACCTCATCTATGTGACTCTGGGCAGCTCACAATAAAAACATGTCACAAAATATAAAAGCATAAATAAGAACAAAGTTAAAAATAGAACTGTCTCTCTTCCCATAAGGCAAAATTCTTTTAATCAACAGGATCCCCCCAATATGCCCTCCCCACCTGACCAAATTGAATGGGACGATATAATTAGGACAAGCAAGATAGTTCCTCAGGTAACCTGGTCCCATGCCATGAAGAATACATGTAAAACTAAGAATACATGTAAAAATTGTTAAGTGCTATAAAAATAGAGGAGTGATAAAGTGCAGAAAACAACATTATATAGTGTCATTCAAAGTATTAATGTTTCTCTAATTTCCTTACCTCTTTAGATTTCAAGTGACTTGTCAGGAGGTGTTCTCTAACTAAACTATGCTCTTCTATCAAATGAATCACTTCCAGTTCATCCGTTGTATGCTTTACCCTCTCCACTGCTTCCAAATACTTCAACACTTTTTCAGCCTCAGCAGAAAGTCTGCTCTCTTTATATGTCTCTTGGACTTCCTTCCATCCCTTCATTACATACTTAGTGACAATGGCCAGGCCTGTTGAAATACAGTAAGTTTTATTTCTAATTTAGAACATATTTTAAAAAGAAATATGAACTCCAAAATAATGTAAAATTATCAAATATTAGGCTGGAAAGTGTATTTATTTTGTATTTGGTATTTTCTGGCATCTTAGCAAAACTAGCAATTTGTTTCTATATGACCTTCTATATATATATTACCTTGATATATAAATAGTGGAAGATAATGTAAAAGCAAAAATAAATAAATAAATACAGTAGTGTTGCTATTTAATTAAATACATACGGACACATATAATGCCTTTTTCACAATTTATTCATCTGACCCTCAGTCTTTAGGACTGTTAATTGTGGGCATTCTTTCTGCTATAATTCTTCTATTGCTTTTGCTATTTGTAGCAGTAACAAAAATTACTGCTAGAAAAGTTACTTCTAGAAAACGCTCAAGGTTTTGATTTAATTTTTTTTAAACTATTACATATTCTCCCTATTATAAAATAAAGCAATACAGCTTCTGTGACCATAATTAAACCCAACATTTCTGTTACTAAGCAAAAGTTATTTTGCCCCATTTTATGAACTTTCTTGCCAGTTGTTACACAAATCACTGCAGTTGTTAAGTTCCTAACACAGTTGTTAAATTAACTCTGCTTGTCAGAAGGTCGCAAAAGCTGATCACATGACCCCAGAACACTGCAACTATCATAAATATGAGTCAGTTGTCAAGTGTCTGAATTTTGATCAAATGATCATGGAGATGCTGCAATGATCATTAAGTGTGAAAACTGGTCATAAGTCACTTTTTTCAGCGTCATGTAACTTCAAATGGTCACTAAATGAACTGTTCTAAATTGAGGACTACCTGTAGATTAATAAAAATTTTTTTAAAGTGAACGTTGTGTATTCTTTACAATATTTAACACTTTTTATATGTCAGTTTGTTTCTCTCCCCACAATTAGAGTCATGGCTTACTTTATAAAATTACACTTCCATTTCTCACTCCTCCATCTCTTTTGATCAAACATACAGGCAAAAACAAAATGTTTCCAAATTACTTATTGCAAACCATCCTTGCTGATTCGGAAGATTTATTTGTTTGTTATTACCTTCATTTGCAGGCTTTAGATGTGATAACCTGAGAAGATCTTTATGGCACCAGCCGTCTTTCTTCTTGTATGCTGTCACCGCTAAAGCAATAGCCATGTCATTCTTTCCATTGTACCAAACTGAAACAGCTTTTCTCAGGGCACGGCCCCACATGCCACAATTCATGCCTTCCTTCAGATCCTTTTTAAACTGGATGAAAGTGAAGAGGTGGGTTGGTATATGACAAATTTCAGGGACAGCCTTATAAGCTTCTTGTTTGGTTTTGGCATCAGAACACTGTGAACAAATGGCAAGCGCAAACAATACTGGATCCTGTTTTGCTGCTCTACCTTCCTGGCTGAAAGTCTTTATTTCTTGTACTGCTTCATAACCTTTGCCACCTTCAATAAGCCTCAAAAGAGCATCTACACTTTCAAAGCTCAGTTTTTGTTCCTTGACATAGAATGCACCTCCTTCAGAACCAAAACACAAGAAACGGCGCAGTCTAGTCATGTCTGTAACTTGCCACCCGCATCCATCTTCAGAGTTTGATAGCTGGTTTTCATTGCAGGGCTGCATTTGACTTGCTCCTTCTTCCATTGCTTCTCAGTATAAAGAAGTCTCCTGAAGAAACACAATAAAATTATTTCATCTATCTGGAATCCTGACTTTATGGCCAGTTTTATTAAGACAATTACTCAAAACATTTCTTTCAAAACAAATGTGGCAACGTTTTACGAAAAAGATGTTCAAGCTTCAGCTGAAACCTTCAGAATGAGAATCTTTTACATACAAAATATACTAGATACAGTAAGTATAAGAGATTATCTCAATTTCCAAATAAATATTCATTAACATTCTAAAAAAAAAATCCCTAAATGAACCAATTTTCTCAATGCTAGTGAGTCAATGCTTTATTTTTTTCTTCAATCCCAGAAGAGGTTTTATAAGCCAGAAGGACAATGGATTCAGTTGAATAAAAATAATATTTTGCATTTTTTAAAAGAAAAAGTAATGTCATAATTTTTAAGTATCCTATGATGGTCTATGTAATTAGAAGTTACCTTATTTTTCAGTGTATAAGACACACTTCCCTCCCCCCCAAAAAATGGGTGGAAATGTCTGTGTATCTTATAGACCGAATGTTGCCGAAGCCCCGCCAACCTGCCAGCCCTCGTCCTTTGGCCTCTGCCTCCCAGCAATTTGCCTCTTTGCAGCAAACAGCCTGGTCAATTTTAGCACAGCCTGATTTAACATGAGCAACTGATTGGCGGTTGGATTTGTCTCCTGGAATACTGCCTATCAGCTGTTCCAGGCTGCGGGAATCACCGCCACCACCTATCACTGCCTCCGCGCGCCCCATTTTCGGCCTCTTCATGCCCCATTTTTGGTCTTCGCATGTCCCATTTTCGGCCCAGCCCAGGCCGCCTATCCGCACTGCCTGGAAAGGGCTGAAAATGGGGCACATGGAGGCAAATTGTTGGGAGACAGAGGCAGATATTTTTTCTTGTTTTCGTCCCCAAAAGCTAGGTGCGTCTTATAGTCCGGAGAGTCTTATAGTCCAAAAAATATGGTATTCTGCCATTATAAGCATAACAACTGTCCTTGCATCCAGAGACCAAAATGTTAAGGTAACTATATGAAATTCATGCCTCCAATGCATTTCTATTAAGCAATTAAGATTTGATAATTTCAAGTTGTAATTTCTAGAAGTGATTTATTAATTTGATGTAATATCTTCTGGTGTACTGAGAATCCTATAATTACTTTTAATTTCTGAATTTAATAAACTATTTTGCAAAGTTTATTTTTTCCTTACGTAACATATTATTTGAAGATAATAATTCACTATTTAATTTACATTGCAAAACAATAATTCTGATTGTCAACATGTAATTATTGCTTCAATTAAATTAAATGCAATATCCTGTCTGAAATATAATGTTCTTAGGATGTGCAATGTTCTGCTTTTAAAAATAAGTTATGTAAATGTGAAAATGAAATTCCACACAAATATATATTTTATTATTTGAAATTGAAAAACCAGTTCCTCACAACACAGTAAAATATTTTGAGCAATAAAATTTTAGCACAATTTCTAAATTAAAAAGGCTCTCTCAAGACCAATAAAAATGTTGGTCAGATGTGCAATTTGAATAAATGAGATAATTATTTTTTATAAAATTTCTAACTAGTTTTCAGTGATGAAACCACCTGAAATTGGAAAGACCATAAATTAAAAAAAAAATACTTCCTTATTAAAAAATAAAACAGCTTAAAATCTTGTAACATTGCCCAGAATTCAATATAAGATGGGCAAAATATTTTAAATAAATATAGTTCAGAACCAACAAAATACATTTTGTGCCAAATCACCAGAGAAAAGAGATATGAGTGCACCTAGATTTTGCAACAGGCACAGTATGTAGACTATCTCCTCCGGGACTCAAACCTGGCTATCACACGTGCAGTAGCAAAATTCTGTGCAGTTGCAATGACACGAAAAATCCGATTACAGAATTAAAGATGTTTACTGCACCAATTTCTTATAGATATCTCTAACAATTTTTAGAGAATCTATATTTACACACCTAACTTACATGCTCTCCCATCATGTAACCAAGGGCAAGAGCCATACTGTTTGATATCATGTACTTTATTATTATGGACATTATTGTTGTTATTATTATTTTTTAACACTATTGTAAACAATAATATGAGTGCAGGATACAATACATGGCAGTTTTCATTTGTATCCCACCTATTTTCCAATTTGTTCAAAGTGTTGTATCTTAGCTTATTCAGTGTTGTCTTGCATAATAATGCTGTGGAAGAAATTGAACAAAAATAGCAATTTATTCAATCCCACTCAACACATTCCATAGTTGAGCTCCAGTTCAAGTGTAACATTTTCGTGATGGTTTGGACTAAAGAACCTTTGGGATGTTCAGGCTGAAATCTATGATATAGCAAAGAATGCCACTGAAGATAGAAAGAATGCATGTTTCTACTCAATGTAATCAGATAATTATAGGTAGTCCTCAATTTACAGCAGTACAGTTAGTGACCGTTCTAAGTTACAATGGCACTGAAAAAAGTGACTTATAATCATTTTTCACATTGCAGCATCTCCATGGTCACATGATTTATCATATTTTTCGGAGTATAAGACACACTTTTTCCCCCCTAAAAGAGGGTGAAAATTTGGGTGCATCTTATACACCGAATGTAGCCAAAAACGCTAGGCCCAGAGGCAGCAATGGTCTATGGCCGTGATGGCGAACCTATGGCATGCGTGCCACAGGTGGCACACGGAGCCATATCTGTGGGCACGTGAGCGTTGCCCTATGCGTGCTGGCCAGCTGATTTTGGCTTCTGGGCCCACTGGAAGTCGGGAAATGGGCTGTTTCCGGGCCTCTGGAGGGCCTCCAGGAGGGTGGGGAAGGCTGTTTTTGCCTTCCCCCAGCTCCTAGAAAGGCTCTGGAGCCTGGGGAGGGCAAAAAATGGGCCTACTGGGCCCACCGTGCCATCGCATGCCAAAAGCGGGGGAAGAGCAGGGGGGTCATGGGTGCATGCGTGGGGGGACGGGGCGCATTGAATTATGGGTGTGGGCGCGCACGCGCGCAATCCCCACTACTCCCACTTTTGGCACGCGATGGCAAAAAGGTTAGTCATCACTGGTCTATGGCAATCCCTGCAGCCTGGAACAGCTGATTGGGGGTATTCAATCAGCTGCTTGTGCTGAATCAGGCTGCAATAATGTGCTGAAGCTGACCTGGCTGTTTGCTATTTGCTACAAGGATTCAGAGTTTGCAGCAGTAATCACATCCAGAAAGCACACACAAGTAACTGATTCAGGAGGATTCAATAACTTTTCTTTATATATAATACAACACATGAAGTAAATATACAATAACAAAAGCAGATTTTCCAAAGCAAAACACAAGCAGAGGAGAGGAGAGGAGTTTCAGTGTCAGTTTTGAGCAGCAGACTAGTTTACACTAGTTCAGCACAGACACAGAGCTTTAGACCTAAGCCACACTCAGGCTCCTTGCTGTCTCCTTCCTTGTTGCTCACACAGCAAATACTGTTTCAGTTTCCAAACAGCCCTCAACTCTCATACACTGACAGGACGCTAGCCAGATGAATTCCGATGGATGCTGGTAGGCAGAGGCAGAATTTTTTTTTCTTATTTTCCTCCCAAAAAACTAAGGTGCATCTTATACTCTGGAGCATCTTATACTCTGAAAAATATGGTATATTCGGATGCTTAACAACTGATTCACATTTACGGCACTTGCAGTGTCCCAGGATCATGTGCTCTCCTTTTGCGGCCTTGACAAGCAAAGTCAAAGAGGAAACCACATTCACTTAACAACTGTGTTACTAATTTAACAACTGCAGTGATTCAAATAACAAATGTGACAAGAATAATCGTAAAATGGGGCAAAATTCAGTTAACAGATTCCTCCCTTAGCAACATAAAATGTTGGGCTCAATTGTGGTAGTTGGCCAAGGACTACCTGTACAATATATTCCTTTGGGGGATAATGGTACAGAACGCTTCCCACAGCTATCTGTCGAGCAGCCAATCAATCCATTCAAATCTTGCAAAACCTCTCCAAAATCATTCACTGGACAACATGCATAAGTTCTTTAGTGATTTGTATCTATATTATGAGATGCACATTCCTCAAGACACCAAGTTGCACAGTTACTTCTATTGCTATCCTTCATTCCTGTTCAACTACACTGCTCTTATCCAGGATGTCCCAGGTGGATGACTCCAGCAATCCCGAAGCTTATAGCATAGTTAGTCCTCAACCTAACGACCACAATTGAGCCCACAATTTAAGTCGTTCATTAGGTAAGTGAGTTTTGCCCCATTTACCTCCTTTCTTATTGCAGTTGTTAAGTGAACTATTGCAACTGTTACGGTAGTAACACGGTTGTTAAGTGACTCTGGCTTCCACCCCCACCCCCACTTTGCTTGTTTAGAAGGTCACAAAAGATAACCACCTGATCAGTGGTGGGTTTCACTTACCATTGCTACGGGTTCGCTCACACGCACGCTACTTCTGCACATGCAAAGAAGCTTCTGCGCATGTGCAGAACGTATTTGATGACGTCTGGGTGGGTGGGCGGAGCCTCCCGCAACCGCTACTACAGGTTCGCCCAAACCGGGGAAAACTGGTAGCAACCCACCACTACACCTGATTCCAGGACACTACAACCGTTATAAGTATGAGCCAGCTGTCTGAATTTTGATCACGTGACCACAGGGAAATGCTGCAACTGTCGTAAGTATGAAAAATGGTTCTAAGTTATAAGAGCCGTGGGGATGCATTGTTAGAATGCAGTACTGTAGGCTACTTCTGCTGACTGCCGGCTGCCTACAGTTTGGCAGTTCGAGTCTCACCAAGGCTCAAGGTGGATTCAGTCTTCCCTCCTTGCAAGATCTGTAAGATGAGGATCCAGATTGTTTGGGGGGGGGGAGGCAATAGGCTGACTCTGTAAACTGCTTGGAGAGGGCTGTAAAAGCACGGTGAAGCGATATATAAGTCTAAGTACTATTGCTAAAGTCACTTTTTTTTTCCCAGTGATGTTGTGACTTCGGACGGTCCACTAAATCGCCTGTTGTTAACTCGTGGCTACCGGTATCTTGTATTTCAGGGGTGGGCAGCTATGGCCCTTTTATGACTTGTGGACTTCAACTCCCAGAATTCCTGAGCCAGCCATGTTAGCTCAGGAATTCTGGGAATTGAAGTCCACAAGTCATAAAAGGGGCATAGTTGCCCACCTCTGGTATACTTGCTTCTCTCCCCCCCCCTCCACCCCCCCCACCCTGGCACGATATTGGTCCATCAATTAAAAATCTCCTGGACTTCCTCAGTTACGTGCTACGAGCCGGGCGTGGAATGTGAACGGCTGACAAAGGAAGAAAGAAAGAAAGGCAGCGTGTTTGCTCCCAGGCCCCGGTCTGAGCTTTTCCTGGAACGCAAGAGAGCCGTTCCAAGGCCTCGCCGCTGGCAGGTTGTTGGGGCTGCATTGTCTGCACAGGCAAAGCGTACCTCTGCGTGTAACTGCGGCAGCCTCCGCGGCTTTCGGGAGCCCCAAGGAAAGGATCGGCTTCTCCTCAAACGCTCTCTCCGGTCACTCCTCCTCGCCCCGCCAAGACCTCCCGACAACTTCCCTCTCGCAAGCAAAAACAAGGGAGGGAAGGAGCCGGATGGGGCAACGGGTCTCGTGGCTACCCGCACAGATGACGGGGATCCCCAAGACCCGGATGCACCGCCCCGCCCTCCCTCCTTCCCTCCCCCGCCATCCCGCATCTGTCTCGCGGCTTTATCCCTCCGCTCTCGCGGCCGGGGGCGGCGACGAAGATTCCCGCTTCGTGTTTTCGGGCGGGTTGCGCACGCACAGCGCGATGGGAGCCCCGGCGTCACGGTGTACAAATTTAGGGGGCTCGACCGTAAATCTGTCGTCCAAAGCTTTTGAGTTCGGGTTCGACAAAGGCTGAACTGGCATTGCAGCACCGTATGGAGGTGCTGCAATTTCAGCTCCTGTAACCCACACCACGGGATATTTTTTCTTTTTTTTTTTTGGTAGGCAGTCGTTGGTGGCGGAGGTCTTGGGGGATGTAGGGCAGAGAAGCGAGTGGACGGAGATTTTGAAAGTTGAGGTTTTTTATATTGCTGTTCTAATTACCTAGCTGGGTGATGGATTGCTTTAATTTTCTGAGAAAAGCAGCCTGTGTGTTAAATGGCCAATGGAGTGCAAGAGCCACTTTGGTTTGCCAGTGGTTAAAGGCACCAGGCTAGAAGCTAAGAGATCACTCATCCCGGTCATGGTTGTCCCAAAGGTGCTTTTTCAAGGGGCAACTGACCTTTCTGGGGTTTTTTTTCCCCTTTGGAGACATTTCGCTTCTCATCCAAGAAGCTGAAGAAGCTTTTTGGATGAGACGCGAAACATCCTCCAAGAAAAAAAAAAACCCAGAAAGGTCAGTTGCCCCTTGAAAAAGCACCTTTGGGACAAGAGACTGTGAGTTTTAGTGCCTCCTTAGGCATAAAAAGATTCTCCGTCACAATGAAACCAGGCAGGGGAAGGTCATTATAGATGTGTTTTATAGTTACGTTAAAACATCATTTGGAGTCCCAGAATGGAAAAAATGATCCAAGGGCGATCAGTTGGTGGTTGTGTTGCTTAACCTAATTAGCAATTTAGGATGGCATTATTAACATGCTAAACCAAGTAAAAATCCTGATTATTGGGGTTGAAAGTGACGATTTGTTTATCCGACAGGCTAAAATATAATGTGAGTTCTTTCGTTTGGGATTAAGTATTATGGTTTGTCATCCCCGATTTATGATTTAGCGCAAATCATCGCCAGGATTACATAGATAGTTTGATGGATAGATAGACAGACAGACAGACAGATAGATGATAGACAAAACAGACTGAATGAATGAATGAATGAATGAATGAATGAATGAATGAATGAATGAATGAATGAATGCTTTATTGGCCAAGTGTGATTGGACACACAAGGAATTTGTCTTGGTGCATATGCTTTCAGTGTACATAAAAAGAAAATATACATTAATCAAGAAGCATAAGGTACAACACTTAATGATAGTCATAGGGTACAACTAAGCAATCAAATCATACTAGGAAACAATAATATAACTCTTAAGGATACAAGCAACAAAGTTACAGTCATACAGTCGTAAGTAGATGGAGATTGGTGATGGGAACGATAAGATTAATAGTAATGCAGACTTAGTGAATAGTTTGACAGTGTTCAAAGAATTATTTGTTTAGTTTAATTATTTTTATAGCCAGGCAAAAACATTTTAGTCTAGTGTTGTCCGCCGCCCCCCAAGCGGTTTCATTAAATCAATGGTTCAATATATGGATGCAGAAAACTGGGTTGAGTAATTCAGGGTTACTTATATATAAATACATCAATGCAAACATAGCCTACCAGCCACTGCAAGTTGCCAATTGAACTTGCTCCTCTTAAAACAAATTGTAAAATTATAAAATAATAACCACCGTGCCGTTTACTCTTATTTGCACCGGTTTGACTCTTATTCTTAAAATCCCGTCTCTTTAATCGCAAGCCGGAAATGCAGCACGTCGGACGGTTTAGCCGCTCCTCTCTCTGATTAGTCCTTGTGCTCCTCTCTTCACCATCGAGTAGAAGAGACCTTCCCCAGTCGAGATGTAAGTCGCCGGCCGCTGAGGCTGTCGGGATAGCGGCGGCGTGCCTTGCCTTGCCTTGCTTTGCTTTCGACCGTCCGCGGGGGTGGGCGAAGGGCGCGCGGTTAGCGCAGAGGGGCGGCGCGCGAGAGAAGCGAGGGAGAACCAGCGGAGCCTTTCCGCGGAGTCCGGCCGATTGAGAGGGAAGCAGGGCAGCGCGGCGGCTTTTTTGGACGCGATGGCGGGCGGGGGCAGCGCTGGCGAGTGGTGCCTCATGGAGAGCGACCCAGGCGTCTTCACGGAGCTCATCAAGGGCTTCGGTGAGGTTTGTGGCTGGACTGCCATCGCAGCCCCCTCTCTCCGTGGCGGTGGGGCTAAAAGAGAGAAAACTGGCCAAAGCGTCAGATTCGACCTTGATGGGCTCGATTGGGTTCCGGGGATTCCCAGCATCGGTTTGCATACGCCTCATTGATTTAAGGATGGATGCGGTTTCTGGCCATGTACAGAACGCGGTTCCCTGGTTAACGACCGTTTTGCAATTCAGGAATAACCAGAGACAATGCCTAGGGCAAAAGCTATCTTGCTTATTTAGTATCTTGTGTTAGAGGTGATTGAGACGTCCTCTGGATAGGATTATTTCCTCCCACACGTAGAGAATCCTTTTCCCCCCCCTTGGTGCACACCAGATTTGTTGTTTTTCTTTGGCATTAAAATTCGTGGGAAATGGAGAATAGAGGTGGTGTTAACATCCTTTTTATGCCCTAGTAATGGATCTGGAGGGATTTTTTTATTTTATTTTTTTTGATTGTTGGTAAATCTAGATGGCTTATTTACAGATTATGGAAAGCGTAATAGGCATTGCCTCCCCTTAATTTGGAAATGGGGAGAGAGATGCATACACATCAATTTGAATGTGACACAGCAGCTTTCCATAAAACTTATTTTCAAAAAAGAGCAGCAGCCAGAGACTCTGTTTCTGTCAGTGCCCCTTCTGACATGCATTTGTAAATGTGCACTGATTAGATCCGCATTTTTCCATTCATTTCCAGTTTTCTCTACTAGGATTTCCTAGTGGTCTCCCAATCAAATATTAACTAGGACCGAAGCTGCCCCTTTCTTCAAAAGCAGTCAAGATTGGCTGGTGGCTGTTGTGTTAAATGCGTTAAATTTATATTTCAATTGTGTATCTATGATTAACAATGTATAATGTAACAAATGCCTGAAAGTAAAATGTGTTTGGTCAGAATTTTGTGAATGCAAACATATTTAAGGCAGATGCTTGAAGAGCTGGATTGACTTGTAATTCCTTTTTAAATTAATGCTAAATTTTGCCCTTGGATTTTTCCCATATAAACTGCCCCTGGATGACTTCCAACCTGTTTCTTAATTTTCAGGTTGCAGAGGAGCACAGGTTGAGGAGATATGGAGTTTGGAGCCTGAGAATTTTGAAAAATTAAAGTAAGTATGTTGTTTGTAGTTACTTACCTTTTGTTCCCTGTGTGCATCCTTGTTATATAAATTAGGTTCTATATTTCCCGCCAATGGATAAAGGAGATTTGCTCAGAGCTTTAGTCAAGTAATTCACATTATTGGAAAAAGCAATGAAGATACCTTTTAGATTCTAGTCCTTTATAACTTTTGTAAGTATATAGTTACATTGCGAGTTCTAATGGGGAGGGGAGATTGAATGCTACCAGAGATCTGTGAAGTTATTTGCTGTGCCTGTTGCAAAGTTTAGGTACTCCAGTGCCCAGTAAGGAAGTATGTGTTTCACACAACACAGATACAATATTAATTGAAAGTATGATTCCTCCAAACATTTTTATAAGGCATAGTATTTTCCTCTCCACCTTCTAATTAGTTATTGTTTTATGCTTTAATTACAATACAGCTTTATTTCCTGGTCCATATATATGTTTCCATTTTCAACGTATTTTGTGTTTTTTTTTATCTGTAGGCCAGTTCATGGACTGATATTTTTGTTCAAATGGCAACCAGGAGAAGAACCAGCTGGTTCTGTTGTTCAGGATTCTAGATTAGATACATTATTTTTTGCTAAACAGGTATGGTAAATTGGAAAACTCTGTGTATCCAAGACAGTTTCTTTTTAAGTAAAAGATATAAAAATTATCTTCTGAAATATTGTGATGAAATATTGTATTACATCACAATTCTGAAATATTGTAAATGAAATGGAAACATGGCAAACAGGTTCAGTGAAGTGCAGATAAAAATCATTTTAGCATAGAACTAGAAATGTATATAATAACATTTTTATTTTTAACATTTAAACAAAGATACTATTTTATAAATAATGTGAATGCATAATTGTAGTGTGACTAAAGATATGCCTGTATATTCTGATTCTAATCATGGAAAATGCTTCATGATCTACAAAGCTGTGTGTTCTTAGCTAGAAGAACGTTTTTGAATTAATAAGTATATAATTTGCCTTTTTTAGCAAATTTGAGGACGACATATTTTTAAAACTAGGAAATTGACCATATACATATAGTCTTTGACTTACAACCATAACTGAGCCCCATATTTATGTTGTTAAGCAAAACAGTTAAGTGAATTTTGCCCCATTTTACAACTTTTCTTGCCGCAGTTAAGTTAGTAACAAGGTTGTTAAATGAATTTAGCTTCCCAATTGACTTTGCTTGTCAGAAGATCACAAAAGATGATCATGTGACTCAGGGACACTGCAAATATGTGTCAGTTGCCAAGCATTTGAATTTTAATTATGTGACCATGAAAATACTACTAGTCATAAGTCACTTTTTTCAGTGCCATTGTAACTTTGAATGATCACTAAATGAACTGTTGTAAGTCAAGGACTACCTATATACTTTTTCAAATACTCTTTTATTATAAAATTGGATTTTGTTTTTTGTTTGTTTTTCATTTCTTTGTTTCAGAATTCTAATATCTTTAATATAGCCAGAAAATTATCCAATTATTGCTTTTATTCCAGCAAGCCGGGCTGGCCTAATTTTTAAATTTTTAATCGTTAACTTTTAACTGTTTAAATGTCCAAAATGGGTAGTTTTATTTTAATTAGATATGGGCCAAATTATTTA